GACGCCTTTCTCTTTTTGCCGACTCTCCTTGACATTGCCAAGGTCTGTTTTTTCACCACTTGACCCAGTGGCCATAACAGTGGGCTTGACATCCGAGAGATAGCACTCTCGGGCCATCCTCTGATCTCCCCTTAGGGAGCCGACTGTTCCATTATCCCTCTCAAACTTGAGCAACATAAGAGACGGGATTATAACAGCCTTGGAATTATTCAGGGTTGGTCGACCCAGAATCATGTTGTAGGCCGAGAGTTCCTCTACTACTAGGAACCGGACTACCATGTGTCGTCCTTCCCCTTTTTCGCCCAGGCGAATGGGTAAATCTACTCGTCCCAGTGGGTGGACGACTCCTCCTCCAAACCCTATTAAAGGGTGGGAGGCCGGATGTATGCAGTCCGTCTGATATTTCAGTTTCGAAAGACATTTGCTGCTGATGAGATCTGAGGAGCTCCCGGTATCTATGAGGATTCGGCCAACTCTCTGGTTGGCCACTTTACATTCAATAACGAGAGGGTCGTCATGCGACCCCCTTACCCCTCCTAGATCCTCTTCAGTGATGACAATCTCAGGAAATGTATATTTGGACGGCCGTCCTTGGTGAACGGAATTTACATCTAACCGCCTTATATTATCTTTGTTGCCCCTAATAGTGGAGCCGCCTCCTGAGAAGCCGCCTGCAATGGTGTAGACGACTGCATCATCTGTATCGGAGCTGTCGGCCTGTTGATTCTTTTTGGCCGACAGCTTTTTTGAGGAAGTGTTCCCCGTAGATTTCTTGACATAAGTGTCAAGATCACCTTGCTCAGCCAGGCGGTCTAGGTACCGCATAAGACTGATGCAATCATTGGTGTGATGACCAACGTCATCATGATAAGCACAGATTTTATCTTGGTTCCGGTTGTTTGCAGAACCCTTCATGGGGACCGGCTTCTCAATTGAGATCCGTCCCTTGATTTCTTTTAGGATAAACTGGTTATCCTTGTTAAACGCATACTTTGGGGAGTATGGTTTGAATTCTTTTTTCTTTTTCTGGGCCGGCTGTTTAGAGGAATCAGCCGCCCAGACCTCTTTTCTTTTCTCATCTTTGTTTGACGACTGTTTATGTCGTCCTTCTCTTTTGTCGAACCTTTTCCCGTCCGACTGTTTTATCGTACAAAGATCAGTCGCCTGTATATAGGCTTCTGCTTCAATCAAGGCCTCTTGAAGAGTCGCCACCCTTTTTCGAACCAAATCAAATTTGAAGGTAGACACGTCTTTGAGACCTCTAAAAAAGTCGGTATAAGCTACCTCATCCGGTAACCCTTGAATCTGTATTCTCATCAGGTTAAACCGCCTGATGTAAGAACGAAGCCCCTCCTTCTCGCCCTGCTGAATTGTTCCCAAATCAAGGGTCGTTTTCTTCGCAGGGATGTTCATGGCGAAGTTGGAGGCAAATAAGTAAGCAAGCGTCCTGAAGCTATTTACACAACCAGTCGGCAGGTTGCCGAACCATTGATGTGCGATTCCTTTGAGAGTCGCTGGGAAACACTTGCACCAAGTGGGATCATCCAACCCTTGAAGGTACATCAGGTTGGTGAATGCCATCAGATGGTCTTCTGGGTTAGTAGTGCCGTCATAGGCGCCTACTAGTACATTTTTCACTTTGGCCGGCTGAGCGGCTTCAGTAATTTCCTTGGAGAAGGCCGACGGCTGTTCACCAAGTCTAAGCAACCGTAGCTGCCAGTCCATAGGTTGGACGTTTTTTGCTGTAGGTCCACCAAATGGAGGTGGCTGCATAAAATACTGTTGTTGCGGCACAAATGGTAAGTTTGGTACCGCCTGGGCACTATGAAAGCCGGACTGACGGGAGGTGCCGCCTGACTGACTCTCATGGTACGACTGAGTATGCCTCATCGAGGCATTTCGCAAACTGTCTTGAAAGTCTGAAGTAGAAGCCGACTCGGACAATCGGTCACTCTTCTTCTGCTCTAGCAGTAGCCGAGCATCTGTGAATGTTTGCTTTGACCCGTCCGCCTGAATATGACGAACCGGTTTCCTATTTCCTGTAGGATAACGGAATTTTGTGAAATCAAGGGCAGGTGGCTCCCGCTTCCTAGATTTAGGATGAGGAGTCGCCTCTCGCCCTTGAACTGGCTTCCTCTTCAGTGAAGTGGAGGGTTTCTTGGCCGACTGCTCCTTGACTGAAGCAGGCGGCTTCTTGTTGATCAACTCTTGAATCTCTCCCTTGAAGTCCCTCATGAAGGTCATGAGTTCGTTCCTTGTGATGGGAGCAGACCCATCAGTCAGCTGTTGCCGAGCAGGCGGTGCGCCTGCTGGCTCGCTTCCTGTTTGAAGATGCTCCCGTTCCCTCCTTTCGGTATGACGGGTACGTCGGGCCCTTAGGGTCCCGTCTGAAGCTGTATGAGTTTCAACTTCAAATTCACTTTCGGTGTCATGGTCCGACTGAACTTGAGGGTCGTCTACGGGACGCCTCTCTTCAGGAGTCGGTACAGACTTGGATGCCATCTCTGAAGTACTCTCCCCACAGACGGCGCCAAATGTCTCGGGGTTTTCTGATGTCCTGCGGGAGAGTTACAATTCCGAGACTGGAACCGGACGCCTGTACCTGCAAAATAACGGAGACTCCTGTGAGCTCCGCCTCCAACGGTCAAGTTAGTACCTGATTAAGGAGTAATTAATGCGGAAATTAAAGTAATAAGGTCTCTCTAGGTGAGAGTGTTTAATGTAGGTAATCTGCTTTGTTAGCGAGATCAGACGGTTATTAGTGTGTTCCGTAATGTTTCTGTTCCTTCCCTTAATGAGGATTAAGGGAGGTATTTATAACCTTGGGAAACGTGCCCATCCTAGGTTTAGGTAAACCTAGGGTCGATTGGGCTTCCCTCGGAAGTTGGGCCTGGGTGGCCGGTTTCTCCATTAGGCATGGAGTATGCCACATGTTGTGACATAATAGGTCCAAGGTGGACGAATAAGCGCGTGCCACGTGGCAAGCCCTGACAGTTCCAACAAGGGGACACTTGGCAGGTCCTGATTGGCCCACGTGGCGCATTCCGATTGGTAGGAGCAAAATCCCCTAATCACTGACTATTATAATATACTACCTCCGTTTCTTTTTAGTTGACATATATTCCTTTTTAGGAAGTTTTTTTTAGTTGACATGTTTCTTTTTGGGGTACCTGGCATTTACAAGCTACCCCACTTGCTTTTCCATTCGCTCTCACTCTTTCTCCTCTCTTTGATATATGTACCTAAATCAAACGCGTCAACTAAATAAAAACGGAGGAAGTACAAGTACTTATAGAATCATATTGGGAAAATAAAGGAATTCCCCTACTCCCAAGCATTTTGTAGTTGGTGGGGCTCTAACTTGTGAATTCAAAGTAACAAGGTAAGTTCGTCACCAACTCCACTAAGCTTTGCTTGGAAAATTGATGTTGTAATTGTATTTTTCATTATCTAAAAAAAACACTACTCTGTATAAACTTGTATAATGTACACCAATATAAACGAAAGTTGGTGATGACATAATAATGGCACCATCAATGTAAAATCGTGGCCATAAATAAAGAAACCGATAACTTATCTTATGACATAACCACCAATGACCCACCTTGCCAATGCTTTTGAACCATAATTGTAATTGTATAAAATTAGAGGCTAAAATTTTTCACATCTCTTGGCACTTTTTTTTTTTTTCCTTTTTTTTAGCCACAACTTTTTTTTTTTTATACTAAATATTCTAAACCATAAAAGTTTTAGAAATTGTAAAAATTATACGTAGTACTAGACTAGCCATTACAATATGGCCGTAAGAGACAAGAGTCCCTTGACATAACTACAATTATTTAAACTTGATTAATTATGGTGACTTATTCACCCGTTTGATGTAACAACTATTGAAAGTGACAGAAAAGCTTTAGGTGAATGTGATATAAGTGGTCTATCTCTCTTATTATCCGAATTAAAACACCGAGCATCTAGATCCAATTTAATAAATTATTGCCGAATATTCTTTTCCAACTCACAAAAAGTCATACAATATTCAAAACTAATTAATTTTGACCGACCAATATCTAAGATATTATACTAATTTATTATTCTAACATCATAAAAAATAAGTCTACTCAATATATGATCCATAATATTGAATTGGTACAAAATCTCTATGAAAATAATTGATGATAAAAGATGTCTTTTAGTTATTTCACTACAATATACGGAGTAATTCAACAAATTAACGTATTGTATTAAATTACGTAGTTAATGGTACGATTCAAAGCGTAAGATTTTTTTTTTTTCCTTTTTTACTACAATTAATTTAGACTCTGTCACCTTGATCTCGCTTGATTTGGACACAAACCCTTTATTAGATTTGTCAAAATATCCAGCAAATATGGATAAAGATTATAAAATTAAATTATCTATTGTTATGACATATATTATATTATTATTATTTATTGCACTAACTACGTATAATTGTATAATACTTGTATGAATTAAAAATATAATCAGGCTGTGGTATAATAATTGCTTAGGTAATGAGATTGTGGGTCTTTAACAGAGTAGCACGTGGAAGCACGTGTGAAATTTGTTAAGAGATAAAGAGTATTAAGTAACTAATCCAGGTTGCCCAACTTTGTTACCTACTGTTGTTAAGTGTTAGGCCAGAAAGTCCTATGATTTTAGGTACACTGCCTTTTAAAGCACTTTACTTTGTTGTTTTCTTACTTGAATAATTCTTCATCTTAAAGGATCTCAACACTTCTTGTCTGTTTATTTTCTGGTATATTCGTTTCTCCTGCAATTTACACCATAAATGGTATACTAATGTAGATGCTAATTACAGAGTTTTCGTAATTACTACTCCTCCGTATGAGCTTACAACCACATTGATCATAAAGTCTTTTCGATAATTGATGGCTGCCAAGAGTACGACATTTTCAATATTTGCGTGTTAGATACATTGAAGTAGAGAAGTTAAAAGATGTGTGTAAGATATACTCAAGTGATGGTGAATGAGAATTCTTTCATCTAAATAAGAAATGAAATCAATTACATTTGAAGTGAATGTTCAATTACATCAACCTTACATGTGAAGTGACCCTTAAGCATAATATTACAGCCAATAGCAACAACGTAAGACCAGCTACAATAGAATTCCAAGATCAATTAAAAACAAGTGAATCATCTAAAACTACTCCTACAACCAACTATCCCTATTTCCCTAGAATTGAATAAAAACACCTCCAAATTCGGAAAAGAGGTGAGAGGAAATGGAGTGCAAACGAATTCCGTTAGCATAGCCCTTATTTCGTCAACCATTTACAAGCGCCAAGCGATTCCCCCCTCTCTAACCGCGGAGATGGAGGTCGTGGCAAATGAGCCTTAGATCAATTACATGAATTTCCTACGGAACACCTCCCGCTTCAATCTCACTCCTCCCCCAGTCACTACTTTTTACATCACAACCCATTATCATCATCATCATCATCATAAACATAAAGTCAGAAGAGAAAAATTAAAATCTGGACATACCATATCTAAACTGAAATATATGTTTGTTCATTTCTATATATTTATAAAAATCCACAATATCCACCACCAGTAACCTCCCATGTTATTGACTGTTTCAAAGGAGGAGGCAAGCGTCGGATGGTTGTTGTTTGAGCTGTTGCTTAGCTTGCTGTTGAGACCAGTAAGAATGGGCAGCTAACACCCTGTCCAGCAGCTCCTGAGGAACAGGCTCTCCCCTCCTTTGTTGAGGGGATATTCTTGCCGTGTGCACCAATGTTTTCCACTTATCCTGATTTTTACCCAAAAAAACCGATAAGCCTTTCGTCACGTGAGTCACCACAAAAGCGCATAAATTAATGAAAAACAAACAGCATATCTTTATCATTTAACAAAAGCAACAGATGATGTATTGATCTCACTTGTTTCATATTATATGATCACATAATTGTTTCAATGTCATTACTCATTAGTTTGTTAGGGGGAAAAGGCATTAAGTCTTGTGGAGGAAACCACCAAAGATTCCTTGCGGCAAATAAAAGATTATACTAGTATATAATTATATTAGACATCCCAATGATTTGATTGTTAATACACGCAACAATTTGTTCTACCGACTGTTGAAGAGTATAAACAATAAACTACGTGGGTCCAGATAGATAGAGTGAAGTACCAAACAAGACTAAACAAAACAAGGTAAATAACCAGCGAGATGATTCTATAGCTTGCCAAGAAATTTATTACCTTCAAATCAACGTAGGTTCGATGCTTCACGTTATCGAAAGCTCTTAGTTTAACATCCCGCCACCTAATTACAATCCCAATCGCAAAATTAATTAATAATTGCAATTTTAAAGAATTTCGAGGTAAGGAATTTTGGGAAGTAAAAGGAAAAAACATACCTTCCAGTGCCAAGCTTCTCCACCGCTTGAACTAATGACTCAACTTCGGTTACAGAGAAAGGTCGACGAATTCTACGCTGTGCCATCTCGGATCGCTTAGATTTTTGGTGTGATGGAACAACGGCCAATGCTTGTGGAGTACCCTCGGGGAGGGCAACTAGAGCCCGAGAATCAACTGACCCTTTCTCTGCTGTGATTTCAGCAGGTGAGGGTGCTGAATCATGATCACTTTCTACAAAATTTCCCAAATTTGTCACAGGATGATGATGAGAAGCACCTTGATTATTAGCACTCAACGTAGGACACCTGAATAGAGAAGAACACAAGGCGTAGAAGCTTGTCAAACCTATATCCAGAACCTAAGAACCATAGATAGCTACCTAAAAGCTACTCCACATAATTCTGCAACCTGTGACAACAAAAACCCAACAGCTTACCTTGATACAGGCTGAGGTAAATCAGTAGAAAGCAGTAGAGAATTATCCTCGGAAGAAACAGGTGTGCTGATATGTGAAGGGTTTGGCTCCAGGGTGAAACCCAAAGATTCTACTTTATCATCATGACATATACCAGACTGCACAAGTGTTCTATTATCATCTCTAATCTTTTTTCCTTGAAGGCGCACCCCAACACGTAGTCCACCGCCAAGTAAGGCAGTCACAGCTTCCATTACTGTCCTCTGGAATCAGAGAAAAAAAAATGTTAGGTGCAACTTTCTAACATTCATCAACTACATGAATCAATAAGAGCTTGCTTAGAAGTTGAAATACACAGGGTAAGACCCATAAATCAAAACATCTGATATCCCACAAGTATTTTCCATCTCAATAATCTAAAGGCAAACAAGCCCTAACACTTGCATATGCAAAAGGGAAGATCAAACTCAGGCAAAATAATTTCAAGGCAATATTAGTTACAAATAAACACAATACAAAATCAATTTACCTTAAGAGAACCAACAGTAGCTGTCTCAGGCATCTCAATAAAAAGCTCCGGCACTCTAAAGGACTTGATCCTCAGCTTCACTGAGGAAAATGAACAGCATTTCACATAAATAAACTCTCTAAATGCAATGCTCAGTCAATTCGATATGAATTGCTCCATCGATTGATGACATACCGTGGGATTCCCTGGATGCAAAGGAGGTGCTCTGGCCAGCAACACATGATGAAGAACCATTACCTACAAGACAATGTATAATTAGCAGCAATTTGAGACACATAAATGCATAATAAACAACACAAATACCAGAGGCCACAACTCTATTCCTGACTGCACTGAAAGAACAGACAGTTTGATCAATGGCCCTATCAAGAACATCATACACACCTTTACATCCATCATCCACATCAGAATTCAATAATGAGCTATAGTGATAGAACTTCCTCTTCTTAAAAGGATAGATCCTCTGAGATCTCGGACGCTTATAACCAGTCCTCCTGCTGCGGTAAATGCAGCGTAATCCTGCAAATTTAACAAATACTATCAGCCTTCCAGCAATCAAATGATGCAAGAGCAAATAAATAACTTTAAAGGAGAATTAAGATACCAGTATCGGAATGATCTCCATCCTTAACTTTTGAAGCTAATCTCCAATGCTTGGAAGCCAACAGCTTCCTTATTCTACGGTCACCTATACGAGCAGGCAACCTAGCAGCTTTCATAGTGCTAGGTTGAGTACACTCAGAAGAATTTTCGTCATCATCTCTAGTAACTACTTTTACATTATTATCCCTACGAGGGGAAAGTGAACCACAAGGGTAGTGATCCACGCCTAAAGACAGTTTAATACTACAATCTGAGCTGGCAACTGCAGGAGAAATCCCATCGAAAAATTCAGGATCCTCAGAACAGTGCATATCAAGCCCATTGCCAGACAATACCTCTCCTTTGCCATCATGTTCTTCAACAGATTCATTCACATTAGGAGCACAAGAATCGGTGTGACCAGGGGCGAAACCCTCTGTGTTCCTGGAAAGGCTACAGAAATCACTCTTGTCATCGTTCGTATCCATCTTAACAAGAAATTCATCCTTCTCTGTACAATGAGACGAAGTGATCACAGAGACTGGGGCTGGAGAAGAATCATTCTGAGGACCAGAATTTTCCTTCACATCGCAACCTTGGTCATGTACCTGTAATCCAAGCTCCAAATTAAGGGATGCAACTTCATTGCCGCCTTTAGTACAATGCTCATCTTTCAGGCACAGAGTGCCCTCATCTTGTTCCTGCATAACGACATCTTGAATATCGCCCAGCTGGTCTTTTTCGATTGGCAAATTCTGAGAACTCTCTCCCTCGAGTAATTTTCCAGCTACAGTAGCCAATAAATCAAACGCACACAATTGATTGTCTACAGCAACAACTTTCTCACGAATCGGGCGTCTCTTCTGAAATTCGAGTTTATATAGATAACAAAATCTCAGCGTTCGTGAAGGGGATCAAATGGTGCAGCATATTAATACAACAGATAATTGAAAGGAAGTGAATTTACCCTAGAAGACCTCGCAGCTCTAGGGATGAAAGGCACCTGATATCCACTGAATCCGTAATCTAACCTCTTCTGCAACATATCGCGGAGAACATACCAGAGGAGTCTTCAATTCAATGCTATTATCAGCACCAACCCAACCGAATTGCGTCGAAAATCAATCTAAACCCAAGGCCAATTCTATGAATTCTGTTGCACAAAAGAGTACACATCACAAAAATGTAAAACAGAAAAATCCAAAACACATCACAAAAATGATCATTCAAACTATCAAAGAAAAAGATTCAAAATTCATATTTCATTAGGGCCCACCAACTTGATAGATTGATGATGATAATCAAGTTAGCCCAATTCAAAACGCAATTTTCATGATCAATCAGGAAGTAGTTAGCAACATATTTCATCATCCAAATCAGCAAAACCTTAAATTATAGCAACATCCTAAGAAAGTAATATACATGAACATATTATGCTAAAAACTATTATACGACAAATTGTTCGATCATACCCATGAATTATTTTTCATAAAAAATTAACTGGAAAAAAAAAAGGAAAGTAAAAAACATATAATTGATGATCTAAAACCCTTGGAGGATGAAAAGCGAAATTCAAGCCATTTTTTTTTATAAAGCCCCTAAAACCCACGATTTTACCACCAAATTTTCTGTAAAATAAAAAAAAAATGGAATTTTCAACCTTGGAAATTACTACTCCGTATAAAGATCACAACTTTCAAAGAAAACCCAGATCTTCAACATAAAATCAAATTCAAAACCCAGAAAATCTGCATTGCTTCAGATCGAACCGATTGTAACCAGAATTCCCTAAATCAAACCCCAAACCCCCAATTAAACCCTGAAAACCAAATGAATTATATGAAGAAAAAAATCACCAAAAAAAAAAAAGAAACAAAACCAGCAACCAATTGTACAAACATTTGATTTGGGTAACAAAGAAATTTACAAATCTCTCACCTTTAAAACTTCAAATTCTCTGTTGGTTTGCTGTAAAACCCAGAAAATTTAGGTGGGTGTAAGATTTGGAATTTGTTCGGAGAAAACTAAGAAAATTCTAGAAAATCCTTCACGTTTTCCAATTTCTATCCCTGATTAGCTTTTTTTTTTTCTCTAAAAAAAAAAATTGATGGTAAAATTCTCTCTCTAAAAAAATTGTTGGTTTCTCTCTCCTTTATCTATATATCAAGAATACTTGATCGCCAAAACCCTCTGAAAACCACCCAACCTTTTTGCTTAAACCCCTGATCTTATACCATTGACCCCCTTTACCACTTTGTCCGGTAAAAAGTTACCCACTCACCGGTTATTCCCGGTTACCTCTTTTAAACTAGCTTTAGGAATGGTTATTCCAATTTTGGCTGACCCCACCATTTGTTTTCTTACCCTCTTATGATTTTGACACGTGTCATTTGTGGTTTAATCGTGTGGGTATGATTGGCCCATACCTTCGAGAAAAACGTTGGGTCACGAAGAGAAGGAATTTCATTCTTTTTTATTTTTGGTGATGGTGCATTTTGCATTTTTTAAATATTTTTTTTTTCCTATTTTAGGTATATTCGTATTATATATCCCTCTAATTTGGATGGGTGGCTTTACATTTTATGAAAAAAAAAATTGATGAATTTGCAAGTATTGTGTTATAGGACATTAGAATTTTTGGGAGTTACTAAATTAAAATATGAAAAATCTAAATTGTGTTTTGAATAAATTATGGTTCGTGTGAATTGATTGTTTCAACTAACAAACTTTTAGCTAATTAATTAGTGGTTTCCTAATAAAGCAAAGCAACAATGCAATGCAATGCAACTTGATTAATGGACAAGTAACAATTGATTGTTAATAAGAGAAATTTAATTAGGTATTGAGTTGCTAAGCGTAATGTCACAAAGAAAATTGAGATTTATGGTCATCATCATTATTGTTAGTTCAAAATTAGTTGGTTCTTTATTTTGATACTAGTAATTTATGTATAACAGCTTCACTTAACTTGTGTTATATTCACCTATTTAAACCTACATACATGAACTTATTTTGAAAAAATTAGAGAAAAGCACAGTAAAAAAGTAACACTAAACTATGAAAGAAAAAGGAGAACACGATGATAAAGTATTTGTTTATCTAATGGTTATCATATTGAGATAAGATAAGAGTCGATAAAGGGTAATAATTTCAATTAAGTTAATTAATAAGTGAAATTTAGATGAACAAAAAAGCTAGTCGATCTTCAAGCAAAAAAAAAAAAGTTTATCAATAAAAAAAAAAGGTTAATGGTCATAATATGGTTGTCATTATTACAATGATACAATATTTAGTAATCTTGTGTATTGGGTATGAAATGTAAAACATAATTAACAAAACAAATCGATTATAGATGATAATTTGAGTTTGTACATAATGGCATCCTTCATTTTAGTTCATTGTAGGGACATGATATTAAAAAACAAAGTTTTTATTTTAGAGGATGAAAAAATGATGATGAAATGTATCCTTTTTTTTTTTTTTTTTTTTTTTAAATCAAATGTATCCTAGTATTTTGTGACATACTAACATGCACAAATGAAGTACAATAGCATTATTTGAGCATGGAAACGAGGAAAACGTGTGATCGATCTTATTCTTACTGTTCCATATAGACTTTGGCTCTTAAAGTCTTAAAGAAATATTCTCGCAACACCTGCAAATGCGACTTGCAAGTTCATGCAATTATCTCTATCTTAAAATAAGGTTATTATGTACTACTCCGAATGTTAAACGATTGTTCATTGTGCGTTATATCATCAATTGTTGATGAGATTATTAATTTTTCTCAAAATTAAATCAAACAAAAATATAAATACACTTCAAAAATCAAGATTTTTGGCAAACATAAATAATACTTTAATCTACCGATATACTGGACTATATGTGTTTCTAAATTATTAAGTTTCATATCCCAACATTCAAAATAAAATCATATTCATGCTCCATTTTTTTTAAAAAAAAAAAAGGGATTTTATTGTGAATTACTTACTCCGTGATGAAATTATTTGTCTTTATATTTGAAATTATTATATTATGTGTAACACCTTTAATCTCAACGGATCAATAAAAATTAGGGTATTTAAGGCAATGATACTTCCTTGTTAAGATGTACAAGTATATTGATTACATAATTAGACAATAATTTAATTAATTTTAATAATCAAAATTGAAATCATTCTAAATCTCAAAGATTGACAAAGAAGTGTGTCTTGATGAAATGGATCATCATATCATTCATTAATTGATCATATGTGAAGGAATTTATGATGAAGCCAGATCTAAGATTTTTATCCTCTTTTGTTTTGTGGATTTTTATATTTATTTTATCCTCTCCCCATCTACTTCCATGTGCATATTTGCTGGTGATGCTAAAATATACTTCCGAGTATAAATATAAAATAAAATATATATATATATATATATATATATAAAAAAATGAAGTAACAATAATAATAATGATGATGGAAGTAGGAGATGACATTTTGGTCACGAAGTCGAAGCACTTTATTTTGTGGATGCAAATTCAAATTGATTGCCACGTAGACATCCTTACATGGCAAAAGTACCAATAAGTAATCACCATTGGCCACACATTGGTCTTTCTCAATCTCCATATTATCCCATAATCTTCTTGTAGACAAGATGAAATACGGACGGATAATAATATCATCCCATATTATTATTATCATTATTATTATTATGTGTTGTGATATGATTCTAGACTTAGGACCTGTTTTCATACGTTTATTTTCAGTTCAATTCAACTCCTAATATCCTTCTCTTATGAAATATTTATTTCAGCTCAGTTCAGTTAAATTCAGTTCAGTTTAGTTCACTTCATTTCAGGTCAGTTCAGTCAATGAGAACATACCCTTAATACGGTAAATAGAAATGAAATTAAACTGAGTTGAGCTAAACAGAACAATTTATAAGAGAAAAAAAATAGAAACTGGACTGAACTGAAATTAAGTTGAAAAGAACATGTCCTTACTAATCTTTGGGTGAATAAATTTATAAACCCACCCTTAGTAGCCTTAGATTGTTTTCTAGTCAATATTCACATGAATTTATCCTTTATTTTTATAGACACATGAATTTATCCTAACTTGTCTTATTACTATTAGAGATTTTCATGTTTATGTATGTACATCTAATTGATTGAAACCAATTTAGATTGACCATAAAACTTTTTTTTTTTTTTTTTTTTTTTTTTTGTAAAAGGTGAACAAAACACACCATATATTGACCATAAAACCTTAAAACACCATATTATGAGGAAGTACTAACGAAGGTTTGATATGTATTTGCAGTACATATCAAACCTTAAAATATTAAAAAGTATTGTAAGCACATGGGGGTGAGAGAAAGGAGGAGAGAGATTGGCAAGTGAAACCAATTTTTAAATGTATCACTAAAAGCTTATACTTCGTATAATTATATCATTGACTATGTAGTGATATTATTTCTATACGTAGTTGGTACCACTAAATGAATATACAATACCATTAAATGAATATATAGTACCACTGAATGTTCAATGATACTATTTGATCATTTAGTGATACTATTAATCACCCAGTGGTACACTTAAATCCAGCACACGGGGTGAGAGAAAAGGAGGAGAGAGATGGGTAAATTTCATGCAAAATGTCTCAAATGCCCCTTGATATGTATATACAAGTACCTATCAAACCTCCATTTGAAAGGCCTCCCATATTATATCTAGATAGTTGTGAGTTGTAACTTGTAAATGAGCAAAAATTGACTATCAACTAAAAAAGCACCCTTGTATTCAGATAGTACATTATAAAGTCAAATCGAATACACTCCAATTTAAAATGATGCAAGTTTGTAAATGAAAATAAAAAATAAAGAAAAAAAATTCACGGTGTATTCTATTAACTTGACTTTTATTTATCAACACTTAATTATATGAACTTATACCATAATTCATAATAATTTATGTTGATCTTAATTTTAATCATGCAGTCAAACATGTATTAATATAATTTAACATTTTTTTTTTTATGAGCTAAACACAGTTAATTTACAAAGTAGAAAAGGAACGACCAAGACCAGAAGAGGTTGTAGACTTGTAGTTGCAATCTTATGTGCGATGTGCCGAGTAAACTCTTTTAATTTACAAGTAAACTCTTTTTATTGGGATCAACTTTGTGAAATACTAAACCAAATTAAGTATTATAAAAACAACAAATTAATTGGAAAAATAATTTTGTTTTACATGATGAATACGTGTTTGTACAAAAATATTTTGTCCTGCCAAAGAATGAAAAGATTTAAAAAAGAGAAATGGTATAAGAGGGAATATATATAGGATCTCCCCCATATTCTTTATTCATCTATAATTTTCTAATCTTTAAAACCAACCCCCAACTCCTCAAAATATTACTGCTAAACATATTACCAAGTATGTGCATATTAGAAAGACCTACACGTGTCAGGAATCAATAGAAGATGACATTGATTAAATTATGGGTGGTATTGGATACGAAGACCCTTGCTAATTTGGTAATTGGTAGTATTAAAAATAAATAAATAAATAAATAAAATTTGGCATTTTTAATTTCTTTCTCTTACGTGGCTAGTTGGGTAACGGATAACTAGACAATGCACCACATCCATCACATGCTACTTTCACAATTTTACGTATCGTATTATAGTTTCTACATGAGATTTTTCTACTACATTTTTTGGTCCATGATTTTATACGTAGTATTTTTTTATGATTTTTAGTTTGAACTATACCAAAAATTTGGTACTTCTTAAAAAAGAAGAAGAATTGGATCTCTTCATCATTATCCATTTGTTTGTAATATTCTTTTAATTATATTGCAAATCACCACATACTCCGTATGTTGGAAGGAAAAAAAAACAACTAGAGTAATACTCCGTAGATTGCAATACTATAATACATGCAAGTACAGAGCAATTATGTACAATCTCATCATGAAGTATGAATTGCTTTGTACTTACCATATAATTGCAATATATTTAGTTGTATACTTCTTAGTTGGTTAAAGACTTAAAAGGTATCGATTATAATTTGTTAAATTCGTGTGTCAACAAACAAGCTTATTTGAATACGGAATACCTCATAGTGTTGCAACCGATCTAAAACAAATGGAATGAAAAAATAAAATAAATGAAAGTAATGAGCCATTTATGGATAAGATAATACTCCACTATTATT